CCATCGCGTAGTTTTCGTATAGTTTCCGAAAACGGGACAATCTTGAGTCTCAAAGTTCATTTCAGGGACAACGGCACCCGTAATTATAAAAAGGATAGTCCCATTTAGAACGAAACGTCTAGTTGAAGCAATTGAGGTAAAACTTTATTATCCCCTCCACTGTCGATCGAAAGAAAGTCGTGTTAGTTACACTATTTATAACTCGAGAACGGCTATATCGATTTGGATGAAAATTGGTGAGGATGTAGCTTAGAACCAGGAGACGGACATAGGATACTTTTTACCCAATACTTATTTTTTACTTTTAACCGAAAATCAAGAACGGGTACGGGAAATATCGGGGTTGCGCATACGAAGTCGCGGGCAGAAGCTAGTATGTTATGTAAAATCTTTGAATAATATAGTGTTTTTTATTATTTAATATAAATTGCAGCGCCCTTACAGGGTCATGTTGATACTGCCAAAATAATATGTATTATGTATAACACCTTGGTACCCACACATGAAGCAATAAAGACTTTGAATTTGAATTGAAATTAGTTGCGTTAAGTATAAGGCATCTATAGGAAGAGTAGGTGTCAGGACAAGTATCACTACACGGCCAAATGAATTATGTATTAAAAGGATATATTTTATCAATAAGTCGCTACATTCGAGTTTATTTTGACAAATATTTCGATATAAGGGGCATTAGTCGACGGGATGAATTGGGAGCATTTATCAAACTTACTCCGAGTTTCAAATACGTATAGCAATAGAAATTGGGAGTTAATTTTTTAAAGTAAGACTGCCTCGTTGTCCGAGTGGTCGCAAGTGCGACTGCCGGGCAAGAGGTGTCGGGTTTAATTCCCGGGTCGAGCAAAGTATTACTGGGTATTTAAAAAATTCTCAGTAGTAGCACGGAGTCTGGAATTGTACCCGGTATATGGCAATAGTCTCACCCCCTATTACATGGGACTCATAACATAAATAGTGAAAAGTGGGTGTTACATTGTACAGTGGTATAATGTGCACCTCTACCTACCCCTTTAGGGATAAAAGGCGTAATGTTATGTTATGTTATGTTTTTTAAAGTGAATGTGACTCATTTATACAAATTTTTAGGTATTATTATTATTGTTTAAGAACTTAAGGTTGTGACAGTAAAGGCTTTAATTTTTATAAATTATATCTCAGGAGAATGTATATTGTGTAAGAGGATGATATCGTAAAAAAACTTGCACTTAATTTAAATAATTGGTATTCATAAATTAAAGATTTTGACGTAATTTGGTTATCTTTCTTATTGAGTTACATTATTACTTATGTTTCGCGATCGATTAAAAAAGTATAAAAACGATAACTTTTCACAAGCTTATTTTAAAATGACTTTCTTATATATATGTATACTAGCGGACCCAACAGACGTTGTCCTGCATATCCACTTGAATGTATAAACAAAAATTCATTCAAATTAGTTCAGCTGTTTAGGATAAATAACCTAAACATCGACTGCAGCGCCATCGCCAAATTTCATCAAAATCGGTCTAGTCGTTTTAGAGAAGTTCAGTGACATACACACTCACAGAAGAATTATTTATAGGTATATACCTATAAAGATATATACTCTAAACAGTTCCTATATTTATAATCTAAACTATTCCCCAAGTCAGCGTAAACTCAATTCCTATACCTATACTCAATCAGTGTCTATTCCCATCGCAACACGTAATAGACTCACGCAACCTAAAGGCCATCTTTCTTACAACTCGACATTTCACTTTCGGAATCCACCTCTATCTTTTATTTTCTTTTCTTTTTCTCTAAAGATATTATTGACTTAGCTCGCCACTAGAGGTCGCTGGATAAAGACACTTATGAACGTTTTCACGGCACAGGTTTTCATACAAAATTTCAACTCGAAGTATAATAAAATAGTTTTATATTATTATATTTTTTTGAATTATATTACAGTATTTGTATAGTATGAATAGTATTTATACAGATATGAAATATTGTACATTTGACGATTCAAAAGCAGTAGTAGGAGTCATATATGGATCTGACTCCTATTACTGCTCTGTTAATTTTTGTTGATGTTGTTCTATAAATGATTGTGTGGTGTATAATAAAGTGTAATGATATAAAAAAATATAAAAATACAAGATACTTAGGTAATCTAAATCTCGCGACAGGCTTTTACATCGTTTATTGTGTTACTTATTTGCAATTAACAGCAAAATTCAGCTCAAACAGTTGAAGATATCTGCTTCATTTATTGCCAGATACACATAGATATTTCAAATTCAATAAAGGCTTGTAAAATCATGGAAACTACTGAACTGATTTTAATGAAACTTGGTACTCATTCAAGATCGTAATTATCATCTCAAATCTTGATATAATATTGCATAATATTTGAAGACATACAATAGATGCAGGTGACCTTACAGAGAACTAAAGTTACCGATGTAGCCCAAAGGATTAGCAAGCTGAAATGGCAGTGGGCCGGTTACATTTGTCGAAGAACCGATGACCGTTGGGGTAGTCGTGTTCTGGAGTGAAGACCGCGTCTAGGCAAACGTAGTGTAGGGCACCCTCCAGCCAGGTGGAGTGACGATATACGTAAAGTGGCTGGCAGTGGTCGGATGCGTAGAGCTGAAGATCGAGCTCAGTGTCGTGCCATTCGAGAGGGTTATGTTCAGCAGTGGGCGAAAATAGGCTGTTGATGATTATAGTACAGTAGATGCAGGTCGTTTCCAACCGGCCTATATGGAAGTCTTTGGGGGAGGCCTATGTTCAGCAGTGGGCGTCCTGTCGCTGATATGATGGTGATGATGATGATATAAATACTAAATTTTATAAAAATCAGTTTAGTAGTTTTAATGAAAAAAGTTTGTATAAAAACTCCTGCCACGTAAAGTCGCTTGATAATACTTTTATCTTATTTATGTTACCTCCAAAAAGCTGAGGTCAATAAGATTTGGTCGAAGTTTTCTTTTACAAAAAACTTCGAATGTAAGAATAGTTGAATCGATTTTGTGATTACTTTCGATGTATAAAACTTTAATTTTAGTTTTTGGGGTCGAAAAGGTAGATGTTTTTGATTATTTTATAACTTATTTATAAGTATATCGAAGAGGAAAAGTGAACTTTTACATATATATGAATGATTTCACATATTTTCGTAAGTTTGTAAGTGAAGTTTGTTTCCTTTGTTTTGTTTGTTTGTGGTTAGTTTATTTTAAGATTATTGAAATTTGATAGAATGGAAGGTTATATTCCCTGGAGGGGTAGGTAGAGATGCGATTTTTGGGCCACGGGTGCGTATAGTGGGGACTCTAGGTGCACACCCTATGGTCTTAGGAAAGACAGTGGCACAGTGATCACGTGCCGCCGTACACAACAAGGAGGAGACACCCGTCTCTCTAGGGATGTATCGTAACAGGCGTTGCACCGTGGAGACTGTTGTGGTGGGTGTTTAAATTAGGTAAAAATCCCACACTCCCTAGTCTTTTATCCCCAAAAGCTAGGCGCCCTTTGAAGGTTTCCCCGTCATCAAAAAAAAAAATGATAGAAATTCGATTGGTAATATAATAGAGGTAGAGACTTAACTAGTTTATTAGTAATGTTATAACTTCCATGTAATAAAGGCATAATTTCATGTTATTTAACTGAGATTTTTTTGAAATACTGAGTAATATGTTATTGCATTGCCAATGCTGGAACCTAACACGAATTCATTGAAAATCATCCAATGACTTCTCCCGCCTAGGTTAAGGCGAGAGAGAGTGTCAGACTCTTATTGACTAACTCTTACTGCTCTTCGAGTCAGTGCCCCGGCAACCCGTTAAGTCTTCCGCGGCTCCATAAAGACTGTTTGCAGACATGCGATCATTCAATCAACGCGGTCATAATTTTTACGACTTTTTATCATTTGACATAACATCACGCCTTTTATCCTCAAAGGGGTAGGCAGAGGTGCACATTATACCACTGTACAATGTAACACTCACTTTTCACTATTTATGTTTTGAGTCCCATGTAATAGGGGGTGAGCTTATTGCCATATACCACAGTTCCAGACTCCGTGCTACTACTGAGAATATTTAAATTAAAATACTTTGCCCGACCCGGGAATCGAACCCGAGACCCCTTACCCGGCAGTCGCAATTGCGACCACTCGGCCAACGAGGTTTTTATCTTTTGGTAGTAGAAAAATTAACACACAATAATAAACACCCATCTAGACTAGACAAAACCTCGGTACACAACTAGTATCTAAATAAATAATAACTATTTATAACATTTCCTAGCCGACAGACGATCTGAATAGCGTAGTGGCGCTCCGCATTCCTTGCTAAAGGTCAAGAGTTCGATCCCCTGTCGTAACACGATATTATTTAATTCAACCCTGATATTTAGGCCAGGTAAGTGTAGGATCGAGTTTCCATTTCCCCTTTATTTGATTTTCTTTTGTTTTGTTTTCAAGCTAGTTTCAAGCTGCCTCGCACCCTCATGCATGAGAAGTGGGCGTCTTAAACCTCCGGGCCACCACGACATTTATTTCAAAGCATTTATTTCAATTAAACCATAATTTAGTACAACTTTAGAAACGTCAACAAATACAAAATAAATGGTCTGTCAGTCAGTCCGTCAGTGAAGCTTGGTGAAGCTAGGTGCTCATTCCAAAATGTAGATTCGAATGGAGAAGATTTTTTCAATAGATACAAACTTCGTTTATAGTTTGTATCTATTGATTGTTCGTTTATAACCTACTGTAACACTTCTCTGCATCACCCTGTGGGTGGCTGGTAGAGAATGCCATCGTAAGCCCGCCATTGTATACATATTTGTACATAAAGTGTTAAAATAAATAAATAAATATAATTCATATAAACAAATAACTGAAACAAATTTTCAATGGAAAAATCCGAGTGTAAAGAATAAAATTTCACAAATGTCGGCCGTAACTGTCGCGGTCGCGACCTCGTTCAGTTGGCAAGCTGCGCACGCGCCGGTCAAGGCGTCCGTTTTACTGTGCCGTCTCATCTAAATGATATTCAGTCTGAATGTCAAATTGTGTTGTTATTTAATCGTGATATTCAGTTAAAACAAATTATTTTGAGTTTTCAATACAATATAATGCTGCTTATGATTGTGAGCTCCCTGTGTAGCTTGAAATTGGTCAAGTTATGTTATCCATTGACGTGAGTAACTTAAATAATTATAATTAATTAATTTAATTGTGTATTAGTGTGTATTTTACATTTTATTTTAGAGTATGTCTAGAATAAAATGTACACACACACTTTGATTATTGTTGTTATTTTAATTTTCGTATTTCTAAAATATTTTAAGAATTAAGATTGCCATTTCTGGTTATGAAATGAGATCATTAGATTAATATTTCCTCGGATAGGGCCCAGTAGGGCTGGTGCCCGATACGGAGCCGCAGAAGGTCTAACGTGTTGCCGGGGCTCCGGCTCAAAGTGCAGGAGTAGGAACGGGGTGGTTTTTAGTCAGTAAGAGTCTGACACTCCCTCTCGCCTCACCCGATGAGTAATGTGCACCTCTGCCTTGCCCTTTGGGGATAAAGAGCGTGATGCTATATAATAATTATATTATTATGTAGAACATAATGTAATAATAGTAAATTGAATGTGATACTAAATATTCAACTGTATGTCGGCGTACAATTTTAAACTGTGTCATTATATTGAAGTTTATATTGTTAGTAATATTGTGTAACTGACTAGAATTAGTTTATTTAGTTAAAATAGTTCAGTTATTTCAATATATTATTATTGTATAATAAATAGTAAATAATATTTGCAGTGGCTGAAATTCGACTATATTATTATCTTTTCGGCTTACTCACGTAGGTAATAATTTGACGAGGAACTCGACTAGTTTCAAGCGATGCTAGAGGCTCATGTTCATGAGCAGTATATTTATTATTACGTGAGTAAGCCGAAAACATAATAATTTATTTAGTATGTCTTACAAAAGTTACAATTCGACTATATTTTATGAACTGATACTGAAAATTAAACTATTTGTTCAATTGACCTCGTATGGAATCTGCAGTTATAATTTTACTAGCTTCTGCTTGCGGGTTTGCCTGTGGCTTCGTGGTATAAAAACTAATCTATGTGTTATTCCAGACCATAATATACCCTTGTTCCAAATTTAATTCCGATCACTTCAGCTGTTTTCTCGTTTACTGTTGTGTATTATTTAAACATTAATCTCGAATCGCCATTTTCATAAAATATTGTGTTTTACTTAAGGGCATTTAATACTATTCGAACGAGTGAATAAGATAACTTATAAATGGTAAATTAACTAAAAACTCAGTATATTCACGTGAGTAACCCGCGATTTTCACCTAATTTAGCATACTAAATTAGACTAAATGAGACATATCTCACGATAGTTATTATAAAAACAAAGTTATTTTTTTTTATTTAAAAAACTTTATGCACACAAACAAGTACATGGGTGGACTCAATAACGCAGGCATTTTCTACCAGTCTGACCCTTGGGTGATGCAGAGAAAGTAATCAGCGGGTGCAAGAACATGTTTTGAATTTAACTGTTTGAAAGAACACATATATAATTCGGCAATATACACAATTTATATATATACTACAACATAACTATATATATATTGAAGAATATATACTATATAACTATGATATAATACATAATATATAGTTATGTTAAGCTTAAATTGAATTGAACGGCTTACGTAACCTTATTGTGAAAAGCTCCATTAGTTTCTTTATTTGTGGGATAAGCCGGTAAACGAGCAGTAGGATCATAATTATCATCATCATCAGATGTATGGCGGCAAACAATTGGCGTTGCCCACCCGACTATGGACAAACACTAGAGGCGTTACAAGTGCGTTACCGACGTTTTGGGTATTAGAAATTGAAGTATTTCTGGGGATTTGGGGATCGATAAGATTGGGACAGCGGGTAATTGGGCCTCCGGTAACCTCTCTCACACGATGAAATACAGAGCAAGCATTGCTTCACGTCGGTATTCTACGAGGCCGTGGCATCCATGGCTTAGGTCGAGCGGGCCCATTTGCGCCAAAACATGGCTCTCCCACACTTCAAATCAGACTGACATAAACTGTGCAAACTGTGTTCTTATTCATGCGTGCACATTTTGTATGTCTCACGGTAGTCATTACCTACACAAAAAGAGGTATATCAAGTCCATACGTAGACCTTTTTATATCTCGATTTGACTAACTTTTAAACATTACACAGAAGTTGATTGATTTCAAAATTAATTTTCATTCAAAACAGTCGAAATTACACTCGATAAACATTCGAGTTAACCTTCAGAATGACCTTGATTTCAACTCAGACCAGAGCCAGACAGTTATAACTAGACATTCTCTAACTATATAAATATTTACTTTAAACTCCTCAGTCTGTTTTCTGATTATCAGTTCTGTTCATACTGTGATAATATTGTGTAATAAAATCTAAAACTGAATTGAAAATTTGATTGTTGAATTAAAAACTATGACTGTCTTGTTGAGTGATTACAAGTGCGATTACTGATCAAGGCACATCGGGTTCACTTCCTAGCACAAGGTTCACAAATCACACAATCTGGGATGGCACAATCTGCTTCTGAGAAGGCAAGGAGCTTGACATCGTGCCTGGACGTATCATTATATAAGTTTTTTTTATGATATCTATAGAGAAATAATCGAGCAGTTTAACCACCTGGTGGTAAGCGATCGGCGTCGCCCATGGACACCTGGAACACTAGGGGAGTTACAAGTACGTTGCCAGCCTTGTGAGGACAGGAGATTTAGAAATTGGTCATGTATCATCATCATCATCAACAGCCTATAAATGCCCACTGCTGAGCAAAGCCTCTTCTCACACGAAGAAGGTTTGAGCACTAATCACCACACTTGCTCAATGCGGGTTGGCGATTTTAATCTTATAATTAGAAATTATAAGCTCAGGTTGTCAAGTCAATTGGCCATTGGGAGATTGATACTCTATGCAAAATCTATACTAATATTATTAAGTTCAAGAGTTTGTTTTTGTGTTTGTTTGTTTAAACGCGCTAATTTCCAAAACTACTGATTGAATTGAATAATTCTTTTTGGGATGGTTAGCCCATTCATCAAGGAAGGCTATAGAACATCTCGCTGCGACCAATAGAAGCCGAGCAAAGCGGGTGAAACCGCGCGCAAATAGCTAGTAATAAATAATTTCCGAAAAATACAAAAAAATTACTTTCCCCGACTTAGGAATTGGACCAAAGGCTATTTGACAGTCGCACTAACGACCACTTGAATAATGAAACAGACAAGAATAAAAAAGCAATGGTATATTACGTATTGATCCGAAAGTGTGGGAGAGCCATGCTTCGGCACGGATGGGCCGGCTCGACCGGAGTGATACCACGGCCTCACAGAAAACCGACGTGAAGCAACGCTTGCGTTGTGTTTCGTCGTGTGAGTGAGGTTACCGGAGGCCCGGAAAAAAAAAAAAAAAAAAAAGTAAAAAATGGGTACAAAGATTCGTCATGTCAGCAAGCAATAAAAAGCATAGCTCCGTTCCATATGAACTCATCTTTACAAGAGTTGGTAGCTTATAATAAAACTGATGCACGCATTGCTTTTCATTTACGATCATCGTAAAGTTGAAAGCAATTTCCTAAGTATTACATCTCGACGTAAAAATTCAAGAACTCTGCCAACTTTGTTGTTTTAAACGACTGGTTAATATTTTTGTTATAACTGTTTTAAGGAGATATTGTGCTTATTATTTTGATTATACATTATTTACACCTTGTGGTGCATTTTTTTTTAAGGGGGGAAAATCATCGAATGACTGCTCCCGCCTGGGTGAGGCGGAAGGGGGTGTCAGACTCTTACTGACTAAAAACCACCCCGTTCCTTCTCCTGCACATCGAGCCGGAGCCCCGGTTACCCGTTAGGTTCTCCGCGACACCTTGTGGTGCATGGGGCTGCAGTAAACCTTGTGAGTTACCACAGCCCTGGCTCAGTGCAGGAGTTTAAACGAGGTGGTTTTTAGTAAGAGTCTGACACCTCTCGCCTTGCCAAAGGTGCGAAGAATCATTAGATGATCATTTTTTCCTTCTCCTCTATTAATATCTTCTGTTTTTTTTCGTTGTGGGATCCAATACAGTTATTCATGTCTCTGGGATTCGCTGGACTTCAGTGTTTTCATGGTTGTATCTACTGTAGATCCTGGCTTACAGGCCTTGTAGTGGTTTTGGGAGGTTGTGGCGAGCTTGGCCTAAGAAAAATTATGGGATGATTTACCTCTTAAAAACAGGCTTGTGGTGTAATAACAGAGTTGAATACATTCCAAATCAAGCCTACTCTTTCTGCCGGTGTTTTTTAGTCCAACTAAAGGGCCTTTGGACAGGACCCGTTGGCAACAGTGCGTTCTGATATAGGTACCTGAACCTTATCAACGACTATAATACAGTGATGGATTGAGACTATCCGTTGATTTATAAATCAAAGAATTCAATAACGCTTTACCCAACTCAATACCAAGTTTACCACTTGTATTTAGGTTCAACACGCAACAAAATAAACTAGACATAAGATCATTATAACTATCACAAGTGAAGACCTCACTCCCGACCATAAATGTTTCGGTTTACGACCGCTACTAAAACTCAAAATATTTACAAAATGCTGCGCTGACGTGGTCCGACATTGACTCAACATTGTATCGAACTATGAATATTGATATTCTGTTTGGCAACCTAGGAATTGTTTGACACAACTTAGAGATATTTAGTTTCAAGTCTTGCTTTCCAATCTCTTTGTTGTTCTAAGTCAAGGACGTTGAAAAATTGACAAACATACTCTCTTCAAACAACGACTGTGGCACCTGACTACTATAGAGTTACACGCAGAACATGCACACATTGACACGAAGGACATCTGTCATTTTCTTAAGTCTGGTAACGTGGTCACCACAACACATAAATAACCCACTGGCATATTGATGCTGCAATCATTTCTAAGTAACATTAGGTACTTTATTCAATGTCGTTGTTCTAAATCCAAATAAAATTTTGATGGTTTGCTACAATTTGAAGTCACTATACAGTGAAATGCTTGCAAGTTTTATTGAATTAATTGAACAAATATTAGGTAAATGGTAATACTGACTAAAATAAA